TTGTACGCCATGGCAACTCTTTTGTTGAAATAAATCTCGTTGAGCTGGAAGTGGAACATAAACTGTAAACACTAGGTTGCATTTCACAGGGTATGTGGATAATCGCAGCATTGAAAAAAGAACCGTCTTTATTCTGTCCATTAGCTATTGACTTAATTATTTGTAAAGCATTTCAAAATGTGCGTATTAAAAAGTTGCATATTCGTACATCTCGAGTCCCCGGTTTGACCTTTCGTGATACATCATATAATGGTGATACAGTATGCCGTTACACATGCGTAGAACTCCTGAGCTAAAACGAGGCTGCGACGTGTTTTGCAGATGGCTTAATACGCACGTAAACAACTTGTATACTATCCTGATATATTTAGACTTGATTGGTTATTTGGGTGTAACCGGCTACTAATCTCGACATGCCGAATTTTGCTGGAACATGGATGCATGTAAAAAGTGAGAATTTTAGCGAGTACCTGAAAGCAAATGGTTTGAACTTCTTGCTTGCAAGCATGATGTCGAAAGCCTCGCCAACACTAGAGATTCACCAAACCGGAGATGAATTTGTGATCAGAACTATAACGACCATGAAAACAAGAGAACAGCAATTTACAGTTGGACAGGCGTTTGAAGAGGTTCACTGGAGTGGAGGAACAAAACAGTCAATTGCTATTTTTGAAGGCGATAAGCTCGTGATCAAATCAGTTGTTGACCCGGAAAACAACCCAGTCATCGAGCGTGAGTTGATTGGAGAGGATGAAACTGAACTAATGATGACATTGCGGAAGGGCGATGTTGTGGCGAAAAGATATTTCAAGAAAAGGGACTGAATGACATTGATCCCCTGTTACCATAGTTAATCAATATATACATTCTTAGTATATACATGTATACGTATATACATTCTGTCAAACCGTATCTCGTCTTTAATGTAGTTTTCATATACGATTTACGACAGCAATGGGGGTTTAATTTCTAGTCACTGATGGCTTTATTGTTGTAATATGTATATCGTTGGTTTTCTGCATATATCCGTAAATCGTCGTCGCATTACTCTTCCGACATGAACACTGCCCTCTACGGTTCTTTCTTCTGTAACCCCCAGAAGTTACATTATCCAACAAATGTTCAAAACTAATTAATTAGTCGTGAAACCTTACCATGTATTCGTAGTGTATCATATTGTATATATCGCACCAAGACTGATTACTATTGGTGCGAATTCATATTTTGCTTATCTCCAAAAAGACTTTCCTGTCTTTATAGTAAAGTACATGTATGTTCATATCACTATACTATATTTGGATTTAGTATAGTCACCCTGTAAAGATGCAACTAATAGATTAATCCGACATGAACAGACATTCTCTACGTGTATGCCTCGTTTATTCTGATGACATGAACAGACAATCTCTACGTGTATGCCTCGTTTATTCTGATGACATGAACAGACATTCTCTACGTGTATGCCTCGTTTATTCTGATGACATGAACAGACATTCTCTACGTGTATGCCTCGTTTATTCTGACGACATGAGCAGACATTCTCTACGTGTATGCCTCGTTTATTCTGATGACATAAACAGACATTCTCTACGTGTATGCCTCGTTTATTCTGATGACATGAACAGACATTCTCTA